GCTCAGGTCATAAGCCCAGGGTCCTGGGAAGCCTGCTTCTCCCTCTCCCACTCCCCCCTGCTTGTGTTCCCTCTCTCACTGTGTCTCTCGCTGTCAAATAAATAAAATCTTTAAAAAAAAAATTTTTTTAAAGTTTGTGTGTGTGTACACACACACACACACACACACACACAGCAACGGATACTCAACAAAGGTGCCAAGGCAATTCAACAGAGGAATGACAGCCTTCTGGACAAATGGTACTAGAAGAAAAAGACACGTATGGGGAAAACAAACCACCACCACCACAACAAAACTCAGCGTAAGTCTCATACCTTATATAAAAACGAACCTGAATGGATCATGGGCTTAAATACGAAAACTAAACGTATAAAACTTTTAGGAAAAAACACAGGAAAAAAACTTTCAGGATACTGAGCGAAAAACAGGCTTGACACCAAAAACGTGAACTGTAAAAGGGAAAACAGATAGACTGGACTTCATTAGAATTGAAAGCATTTGCTCTGCCAGAGACCTGCTTACAAGACGCAAAGGCTCAACTGCACTTGAAAAAAAACTTTTTAAAAAATGGAAAGACAAGCCACAACTGGGAGAAAAGACTTGCAACCACATACCCAACAAAGGACTAGTATCAAGTATACAACAAGTACTCCTACAACTCAACAGCTAAAAAACACAAACATGATCTAAACAGAAAACGGGCAAAAGACTTGAAGAGACATTTCACCAGAAAGGATGTACAGAGGACAAATAAACACGTGAAGAAGGATGTTCTACATCATTAGCTACTGGAGAACTGCAAATTAAAACCACAACAGCTATCACACACCTACCAAAATGGCTGAAGTGGAAAATACCACCACCAAGTACTGGCGAGGATACAGAGAAACTGGATCACCCATACACTGCCCATGGAATATAAAACGGTTCAGCCACTCTGGAAAAGAGTTTCTTAAAAATATAAATGTGCAACTACCGTACAACCCAGCAACAGTACATGTAGGCATTTATCCCAGCAAACTCAAACTCATGTTCACCCAAAAACCTGTACACAAATGTTTACAGCCACTTTACTCATAATGACCCCAGACTGCAAACAATGCAGACCGTCCTTCAAAGCCTGAAAGGTGAATACCCTGTGGGACAACCTCACCCGGAATACTACTTAGTGATTTAAAAAAACAGACTCCCGGTATGTGCCACAACCTGGATGAATCTCCAGGGAATTATGCGGAGTACAAAAGCCAATCCCCAAAGGTTTACAGATGGTATGGCCCCATTTACAAAGCACTCCAGAAACAACAACAGAATAAAAATGGAGAACAGATTAGTGGTTGCTGGGGGTTAAGAAGCAGGTGGGAGTGGCTCTAAAAAGGCATCATGAGAGATTCCTTTGGTTATGGAAATATGTTGTAGACTCACGGCACCGATGTCAATATCCTGGTTATGATATTGTTCTACGGTTTTGCAAAGTGTACTACTGGGAGGGAACTAAATAAAGGGTACATAGAATCTCAGTATTATTTCTTACATGAATCTAAAATTATCTCAAGGGGCGCCTGGGTAGCTCAGTCGTTAAGCATCTGCCTTCGGCTCAGGTCATGATCCCAGGGTCCTGGGATCGAGCCCCACATCGGGCTCCCTGCTCAGCGAGGAGCCTGCTTCTCCCTCTCCCACTCCCCCTGCTTGTGTTCCCTCTCTCACTGTGTCTCTCTCAAATAAATAAATAAAATCTTAAAAAAAAAATTATCTCAAAATAAAAAGTTCAATTTTAAAAAGTCAGTGATTCAAGAAGGAAGACCCAGAACATCGCACACAACACTGCAGCATTATCAGGCAAAATTTTTAAATGAGTATGGTAATTATAAGTAGAGGTGGGCAGCAGGAAGGAAGTGGGGGGGGAGGGCAGGCAGGAAGAATAGCCCCGCTGCCTGTGAAGGCCTACCCGTCCCTCTAGGCCTGGTGGAGTCAAAGGCTGGCAGGTAAGGAAGGAGGGGCAGCAGGGCCATCAGTCCTGCTAGGGCCCTGTGGTCACACCCTTAACTTTCAGAACCAACAGTGGCAGCAGGGTCAGTGCCAGCATCCGCTGCGGACGGTTCCCTAACTACGACTACTCCGCAGACCTAGGGAACCCTGCCCAGGGGGAAGAGCTCAGTTAAGCCGGAAGAGAAAAAGGGCAACTTGCAGGCAGCAGCCACAGGGCTAAACCTTGCGCTGGATTCCTGCTCCAGAAGGAACAGTCAGAGGAGAAGGCTACAGGGGGTTCTTACAAAGGTGAGGCAGTCCAATCTCTCAGTCCACCGAAGACTTACCAAGAATGTGGAGGTCTACAGAGAAATGGAACGTAAATGTTTTAATAACGACTGTAGTAGACAAGAAAGGAAAGACGGGGTTCGGGAAAGACTGGTACTTGAGGTGCCCCAACTCAACTTCTACATTTTATTAGAAGACATAAGTGTTTCAGGTGTCATTCTCAGGGAGATAACAGTTCATGCAGGTAGATTTTTTTCCCAATTGGATTTAAATTCATAAATTTTAAGTTGTCTGACAGTCATGTGAATGGCAAACTGGAGAAGATGAAAGGAAGAATTTTCCCTCTTCTCTCTTCTGTTCTTCCTGGCTTCAGCCTCCACCTCCAGGTACCACCGTTACCTGACGCCACATCAGGTGACCGCAATGGGTGAGGACACCCCTAGCTTCCACTACATCCAAAGCTGGTACAGCAATAGTCATATGGATCTTACCAACGTCCTGGACTGGGGAAGGGACTCCAGGCTGGCTTAACTGAGCGCTGAAAACGTGGCAGCCCCCTCCTCCCCCCGCCACTGAGAGCCCCACAGACTGGGCTGCTGAGCAAGAGACCAGGCTGCCTGCCTAGGTCTGCAGGAGAACCCTCCTCTGGCCTAGTCTGGGAAAAATGGGAAATTACGGGAGGTGGTAGGGGGGCGTTCTGGGCAAGGCCTCCAACAAGACAAGGGGAAGTGGGGCACAGGCAGAGTATACCAGGGGGCACATTTATGTCGCCAGTCGGTCGTGCCTGGATATGCAGGCAGCTGAGGCTTATAAGTATAAATACGACACTTACACGTCTGGCTCAGTGTACATTTGGCCCCAGAGTTAACGTTACTCTGCCATGACTCATTCCTAAGTATCCCAGGTGAAATGGGTGAGCTGCACTATACACTTGTCCAGGCCAAATGCAGAAGTCAAGGCAGAGCAACCACGTGCGCGAGAAGAGATGTTAACCTCCTTCCTTGAGGGAAACCTCCATCCTAGTTTGACCCTAGTTTGACCCTCGTTTGGCGGTTGAGCCCGAGCGGTCCACAGAGAAAAAAAAGCTGGGAGAATCCGTGGAGGAAGGGAAAGTCCTACCTCCTTGCCCACGTCCTTTCTGCTTCCTAGAGAAGAAGAGATTCCAAAGAGAACAGACTATGGGAGGGCAGCTCAGAATGCCAGACACTGAGCAGCGCACACGACACGGGAGAGGTGGTGAGAGCCCTCCGAAGCCAGGGCCGGATCTGCCACCCCGAGCAGGTTACCAGCAGACGGAGAAAACAAGGCAACGGAACACACACAATGAAAGAAAGGGGTTTTGTTTGTTTTTTTAACGGCATCCTTTCAAGATGGGGAGAAATATTACCTTTCTAACGAAGCCGTGACAAGGTAAGAGGCACCTAGAAAGAACCCAGGCCTTATCACCAGGATACCCGAGAACAGCATGTCAATCACCACCTTCCTGAACTAGTTAGCCACTCCACTCAGTGTTTCACCATCCGAGCCAACAAAACATTTAGCATCCAATGCCGCAAGAATGCTCTCAAGACTCTATCATTTCCATCTCCACTAAACTGAAAATCCAAAGAAAAACATGATTGCCGTATTCTTGATCTTTTAGTCCCCAAACTCAAAATCCCAAGAAGAACTTGACTCGGTAGTTGCCCTTGAGGAACTGATCATGGCAACTCTACCTGACATCTGGAACGCAGCATTAACCCCCTGGTCAGCAAGAGGCAATAAAAGAGGCAAATAAAGGAAAGATCAGCTCACTGCTGGGTCTTCACAAACAGAAGTTCGAGCCAGCATGTATTAGCTCAAACTAGCACCCCTCCCCCTTTCCAATTTCACAAGTTCTCTGCTTTGGACAATAAATCATATGGTCTCTCCAACTTGAATCTGGTTCATTCAACATGTCTAGTTACCTCCAAATAAGGATCATATATCTGTAAAACACGTTGATCTATTGGCCAAATGCTGTCTCATGGAGAAAAGCAAATGACAGAAGATAAAAAGGACTCACTGATGCCCACTGTGACATGTATTTCACCAACATCAACCTACATTTCACCACCAAAAAAAAAAAAAAAAAGCTTCAAAGAAATGCAAAGATATTCTATTCTAAGGGAGAGGGTTTTCCATCTGCAGCTTAAATTCATCGTACTGAGGACTATTACTGAACAAACTTCTGGACCAACATCCTAAGTAAGCGGGCACACCATATTAAGTGGGTACCAATTAAGTCTGTTTAACTGTACAAAACAGTAATTCTAAGTAACATGAGGAATTTTTTTAAAATCCCAAAAATGTCATTAATAACTCAAGAACAATGGTGACGTAACCTGACTTGAACCCCTAACACAATGGCACGATACCCTTAATTAGCCAGATCTCAGACTTCCCACATACATACCACTGACCCAACAATTACAAACTCATTTATCCTAAATCTAAGGCACCATAACTCAACTAGTAGAGTTACTGTCTACAAAAAAAAAAAAAAAAAATCGCCTTCCAAAAAATTGTTTTTAGACTCCTATTACAACATTGTGCAAGTCTATGAAAACAATCCTGTCTCTCGCGCGTCACACACACACACACACACACACACACACACACACACCCCCATTTGCCTGAGCTCCCACCCCTAAAATCAAGGGCACTGTATAGAGCATTCATGTCTACAAATTCGTCCCCGAAACACCAAAAGGTAAGTGATACTCTACTTGTCCACTCGTATCTGCAGCCTGCTGGAAGTGTGTAGCCAGCGACGTCTCGTCCTGGAAAACTTCATTACACTCCAAACATTTCAGACTATGCCTGCAGAGCTTGGATGGGTCTTCATCTAACGGCATAGCTGGAATGATGGGTGTGCTTGAGGGAGCGGATATGACTGTCCCCGTTATGCCAGACTGAATTTTCGTTACAGTGTGTGTGCCGGCTCCCACGGAGCTTGGAAGAGCAGACGATAAAGTAGAAGTATTGCTTGACGGAGAGACAATCATTTGATCAGCTGGGACTGGCTTTAAAATCAAGTGGGAGCACTGCATCACAACCCCCTTTTCCTTGTGCCCGCGGGCGTGGGAAAGGAGACTGCACTTGTTGTAAAAAACGAGGTTCTTTGTACAGTGGTTACACGTTACTTCGATGCGCACGCTGCGTCGGTCATAGTGTTGGGTCAGGCTCTTTTCGAGGGCAAAGGAGTCCCCGCACTCCAAGCACTTGTACCCGCGGGTCGGTAACGTGATGCCTGCATTGGCAGGAGGACTGAGGTTGGGGATGTAAACTGGGACTGGGTTAACGCTGCTCAGCACCTTGTTGAAAGCTTCCACCACGGAACTCTGCAAGGAGGACACCACCTGGACTCGAGACACCTTTTTGGGAGGTTGCGAGGCTGCTGCGTTGATTATTGCCTGCTTTATTTGCTGCTGAGGTTTGGTTAGCACTTGGCGGAGCTCCGAGGTGGCCTGGGCGCCCTGAGGCAGAAGGTTAAGGTTGGCGAGGTGCACAGTCTTTGGCACGAGTTTGGCGTTGGCCAGGCTGGATGCCGGCACCACAACGGTTTGCTGCTGGATGGCATTGGCGGCTTTGATGATGGCGCTGCTGGCGCTCTGAACCGAGGCAGCAGATATGACCGTGGCTTTGACCGTCGTGTTGTTAGCCAGCTTCAAATTGATGACTTGAGATCCCGCCGTCTTCACGGCGGACACCGGGAGGAAGGCAGTGGCCACGGGCTTAATCGTGACCTGTTTGGGGGCCAGCTCTGCAGGGGCGACCGCGTTGGTGACCACTGCCGACTGCAGAGGTGCTCTGGGCGGGGAGGAGAGGACGGCCGCCGAAGCCGGAGAGGACAGGAGAGACGTCACAGACGCCATCACGGACCCGGCCTGCTCAGAAGGCTTTTTCCCCGAGTCGAGATCGACCTCGGGCAACACCCTTGTCACTGTTCTCTTTATTTCCCCAGAAGACGTCTTGATGGTTTTGATGCGGACTTTGGGGATTGCGGGGGTCGACCCTGCGGGGGAGGACGGCGACCCCTTGCTGCTGTTCTCACTGGAGATGCTCCGCGGGCTGTCCGGCTGCTTCAGGGACGCTTTCTTCGTCCCGTCGATGAGGCTCTGGGATTCCGGAGACTTTTCCATGGCTCTGGGACTGTCATTCGCTTCTTTAGGTAATGGAGAGGATCCCCGGGAGTCAGTCACCGGTTCCTTGCAGGAGTCGGAAGCGGCCTTTTTAGCACTCAGGGCCGCTATTGCAGCTATACACGAGGACAGCTTGGACGACGGCTTTGACCTTGACAGCACGCCGCCGCCAAGGCCGGGGTCGCTCTTCTCCGAGCTTGGCTTCCCGTCGTGCGCCCGGCTTTCAAGCACCTTTTCAGAGTTTTCCTTCAGCTTATCCTCTGCTTTTCTGGCTTTAAAAGGTTCGTAAACACTCAGATTTATGGAATTTGTTTCCGCTTCTCTCTTAACAACTCTGTTTTTGTCTAAATTGCCTGCAGGAGAGATTCCGGTTTTGCTCAAGCCGTCCCCACCGGGCGCCTTTGGCTTGTCATAGTCCTGCTGGGCAGACGACGACCCTGTCAACACGTTTGACCGAAAACCGGAACGCACGTCCTCTTTGTCTGGGGGGTCGTCCACTTCTATCTTCTCGTCGTCGTCAAACTCTTCCGCACTTGAGATGGGGCTAAACTGGCTGAACGCGGAGTCTTTCAAAGTCACCTCTGAGGTAGGTGCCTCTCCTTTCAAGGCCTTGGATCCGTCTTTGCCGTAACTGTCAAGAGAGGACGTGGTGAGAAACCCGTTGTGTAAGCCGTTGCCGGTGGGATTGTGGCCGTCTTTCTCTGCGCCCTCAGACGAATCAATGTTCCGGACGTTCTTGACGATAACGCTGACGCCCACATCAGAGGAGGACGGGGTGTGGGAGTCCTCGTCTCCGTGGGCGTTCTGTTTGATGTGGCTTTCCTGGTCATCGTGCGCAGACTCAATAGCTGCTTTTGGATCGACCATATCTGGGATGTCAAATGCTGCCAGGAGGTCATCAAAGTCTGGGGTCTTCATATCCCCCATGGTCATGAATTTGATCAGATGTTCTGTTAAAGGAACAGAAATAATGCCATCAGCAACGAACACTGCGTAATGACGGGATAAATATCCCTCCAGGACTTACATGAACATAGTGATGACCAGCAAGAAAGAGCAGGTTGGGAACTACGCTTCCTACGACGAGGAAACTCTGAGTGACAAGCATCCGGAGAACACGTACAAAGTCTTGATAATTACAGCTTCGAACTCATTTCCCCAAAATGCTGCACAGTATTACCAGCATGGCACCTCTCTAACAAGAATGAAGTTGACCAGAACAGGTACAGCACAAAAAGTAGGTTTTGATGTAACAACTAGAAAAATTTGTCATTTACCACTGGATTCATTGCATGGTTTTCACAAAAAGCTACTCCCAAACCTATTTTAATCTCTACAGCACTCAAGTCTACTGGCAAAATGAGCACGACTATGGTCCCTGTCACATTTGGCCTATCAAATTAAAAGGAATATATGACAATCAAAAAACCAATTATGGATTTCAATTCACCCACACAACAAATGAGCATCCCAGCCCACCACGGGCTATCTACTGCTAATAAAGTTCGGCCTGAGATTTAAAAAAGAAAAAAAAAAATTCCCAAGAAGCTTATTCCATCAGTTTTTATTTAATCCTAATTTTCTCTATTATGTTAGGGGAAAAAGTACTCTCCTGATAGGGAAAAAAAAAAAAAAAAAAAAGGATAGCATCCCTTCCTTCTCCCTCCCTAGTTCAGCGCTTTTAGTGGTGAAGGTAACACACAGCCGTTTCCTAATTGCCATTCATCCGACACAGTTGTTCCCCAACTGACTGTGGCAGCTGAGCGCGGCCCTGCCGTTGACCTTGCTCTTGGCGTCTACCAACATGGACCCAGGGGCATGGCAGAGCCTGGGAGAAGGCAGGCCTTCTCCTCTGCACCAGGGCCAGATCGGGGTGGGTGACATTATGTGAAGTGCTCCCCATTAATGGCGGCAAAACCCTGGGCGGTAGGAGGACAGAGAATCTGAAGAAAAAGGATGGTCACGGCCATTGCTAAAGATGAAGGATTACAAACGCCTGAAATGCTTGGGGTCTTTAAAGGGGACCCTTCGCCCCACCTGCAGAGGACATGGGATTGTGGAGATTACATGAAACTCCACACAGGAGAGATCTTCCTCCTGCCTGAACCCCAGAGCACTCCACCTGTGTTTCTATGATCTTCTGGTATGCACCACAGCACGTGTGCATACTTGTCTCTTTGTATCTACTAGCCTGTCGGCTGACTGAACATGGCAATGTCCCACTCACCTTTGCACCGTTAAATGCCACATGAATAACACACTTGTGAGTCAGGGGCCAGCACACGGGACTTCTCGGAAGGATGGGCCTAAGCCCAGCTCTGTCACTCACTAGCTCTGGGACACTCAGGAAGTGAGGGAATCTCTTTGGGCCTATTCCCTCTTTCTGCAGTGGAGGGGGAGGCAAGCAGCCAGGAAGAGCAGGAAAATAGGAAGCAAAATTCAATGCCGGAAGGGAAGAGGCTTACAGCTGATTTTAGGCAATTTTCAATGCAAGAATCAGCCTAAGTGATTTGTAGATATGTGTTCCTAAGACTCTTTCATCTTCAATACTTACTACCGTTCCTCCTTTTGATCTCCTTTAAATCACTGAGAAATTGTCTTCCACATTTTACTGAAGTATTTAATGATTTTTCTTTTTTATACAAACTGCAAGAGATCGTGCATTCCTTTTTTTTTTTTTTTAAGATTTTATTTATTTATTTGAGAGAGAGAGGCACAAGCAGGGAGAAGGGGCAGAGGGAGTGGGAGACGGAGACTCCCCACCGAGCTGGGAGCTCACGGGCTCATGAGCTGGGGGCTCATCCCAGGACCCTGGGATCATGACCTGAGCCGAAGGCAGATGCTTAACCAACTAAGCCATCCGGGTACCCTGATCATGCATTCTTAACAAAAATATATGGGGGTCAAGGTAGACTTCCTACTGAGGTGACAATATGCGTACCAGTGAAAACTCAAGTCCATCTGCAGGTGGTAACACACCCTCCTCAGCTTACTCACGGACTGTGGGACACATCCAAACACTTCTCATTATTTGGATGGGAAAAACTACTATTGAAGAAGAAATCAGCACGCTTGGGTCAGCTATAGAACAAATCACCTTCCATTCACATAAGTCTCGGTTAAATAAGAATTAAAGAAGTCACATCTACTTTTCCCTAGATGGTTTGCTTAGCCTAAAGAGAAAATACCCCGGGCCCACCATTCTCTCAGAAGGACGCCTGACAGACCCAACAGGGGATAATGTATCCCCAGCATCAAACTACAGCGCAGAGAAAACATCAACACTTCTAAGTTGATATCGTTGTGAAAGTATCTATGACTGAATCATACACAGTGCAAGTCTGCGATTATGATTTTCTTTTTAGGAGGAAATCGAACATTTAAACTGCAGAATACAGGGAATGAAAAATCCACCTGTCAGATAATACCCACGTAAGAGTCCACCCACTTAGGAATAATCCCCGAATGTCACTATTTTTACTTTTAAGCAGCAAATGGCAGTTTTAAGTGAAAACTCATGATAAACTCACGATAAAATCACCATTAACTGGGAGCCTAGGTGGTTCAGTCGGTTAAGTGTCTGCCTTTGGCTCAGGTCATGATCTCGGGGTCCTGGGATCAAGTCCCACGTTGGGCTACCTGCTCAGCGGGGAGTCAAGTTCTCCCACTCCCTCTGCCCCTCCCCCCTGCTCGCGCACGCATGCGCTCTCTCTCTCCCTCTCTCTCTCAAATAAATAAAATTTAAAAAAATAAATAAAAAATAAAAAAATAAAATCACCATTAGTGAAGCATCCAGCCCCTGTGGTCAATCTCTACCAACCATGTTGATCCAAGTTTATAGATCGTGGTTTTTAGAGAAACTCAAGACACAGAATCACCAACTACTGCCCAACTCCCACCAGAGTTGAAAGGGTCTGAAAAGAGTTGAAACACTGAGAAGTGTTTTTTTAAGCCACCACTTATCCAAAGCTTGGACCCAGGCTCTAGACGTCCCCAGAAGTAGATAGGCTCTGTCTAAATCTCTCCATCCTTTACGGTGACAATGGATTTATGTCATGTGTGCTTTCCTTATAATGTGGGTGAGCAAAGAACATCACCCAGTTTCACATCATTCATTCCAGAGGGTAGTCGGTTCCGCGACAAAAAGAACATAAAAGGCCATGCAACGACTCATGGGTGGTAGGCCCAGGACACACAATCACCAGTAATGATAAAAGGTCTCACATAAAACAAAGCCTGTTGAGGAACTGACAGGTCGGATCTGCAGTGCAACTGGCATGTACTCTTAGGAATACGAGGAAGATTAATAAAGGAATCTCAGCCATCTTCCTCTCCTGGAGACACAAGGGACCTGTCTGACTTACCCACACGCAGGGACTCACGCACTGCGGCCACAGCGTCCCATCACCCGATAACCGGCAGGCCAGCAGGCCGGCAACCCACCTCGCTGCCCGAGTCTTTTCCTATCCGCCCACCTAAAGTAGAGTGAAGGCTTGGAAAACCCCAGAGAGGATCCTCCAAGCCTGCAAACGTCCCCAGGGCTTGAGAGACCATTCCCCATGCAGGAGCAACTCTCCCTCCGTCATACTGTGGCCACATATCCCACTCTCCCACCCCTCCGTGTCACCTAAGATTTGTACTTTCTCTTGCGGGAAGAGGGTGGACCTCAGGGTCCACGTCGCAATAATGGGACGTTCTACAGAGCATTCGGGTGAGGGCGAATTAGCAGGGGCTTCGAAAACTGGAGTCAGCCCTCCTGGTTCACCTGAAGGAACCCAGATGCGAACATCGCAGACGCAGGACAGGCATGAAAGCCCAGCAGGAGCACACAGCACTGCCTGGAACCTAACACCACCGGCGGGTGGACCCGCCTCTGCGGGACTGTAGAACAGACATAAGGAATAGCGCTTTCTGTAACTTCACACTTCTTTCTTGGTTTCCAGAAATGGTGGCATCCTCACAACCCCACTGTCCTATGACCCGCTCCCTTCCCGCATTCTGGAAGGCAGGAGCAAATTCTCCATTTGGGGGAACAAAATGTTTTAACTCCCACTTCATTTCCCAGTTATATCAGGTACAAAGAGAAACGTTTATGTTTAAAAGTTTTCTCTCCATTTTTCACCCCAGTCCCAAAGTACCACTTTGTTGAAAACATTACAAAAATAAATTTCAGGGGCGCCTGGGTGGCTCAGTCGCTAAGCGTCTGCCTTCGGCTCAGGTCATGATCCCGGGGTCCTGGGATCGAGCCCCGCATCGGGCTCCCTGCTCAGCGGGAAGCCTGCTTCTCCCTCCCCCACTCCCCCTGCTTGCGTTCCCTCTCTCGCTGTCTCTCTCTCTGTCAGATAAATAAATAAAATCTTTTAAAAAAAAATAAATAAATAAATTTCAGTCTTCTCTTTTAAAACATAATAGACAGAGAGCTCTCTTGAGCTTCTCTTTCCCTGGACAGCTTGATTTTCAGACAGAATTAGCTTTAGTTGTTGTTAATAAAGTCTTTTATTTCATTTGTACTCCATAAAACATACGTTCCTTCAAAGGCACTAACAGTCTTTTAATTTAAAACTAAACCCCATATAAATAACCTATGATTCACTAATAGCATTTGTGCCTAATGTAGAATGTCCTTTCACCCAAAGACATTGAAAAACTTGGCGGGGGGAGGGGGTGAATGCTAGGCCTATTTACAGAAACGGAAATTGAAAGAACTTGAGTCTGTCAGGCGATCACTTTATTCTCTCCCATGACACGGACAAAACATTTCCTTTCTTACCAAAGCCTCTTAAAATTATAGAAAGCTATTTCGTCTTTGTTGGCAAAACTCAAAAGTTATCATGTCAAAAGAAAAACTTAAGAAAAACCTATTCACCCCCTCCCCATCGTACTTCTTACACTTTATGATAAAAGAAACTGCTCTTGGGGTGCCTGGGTGGCTCAGTCGCTAAGCGTCTGC